AAAGAAATGTTTAAAAAAAAAAAAAGGTCTGTTTAAAAGCTGAAGCATTTTATTCATAGGCTTGCCTCCAGCCCTTTGACTCTTTATTCTTACACACATCCATTCAAAGCTTGTAGTAAATTAGGAAGAAAAACAGGCATACACACAACAGAAAGGGAAAAAAGGCTAAAGAAGAAAGAAAACACTATGTAATGTTGTTACGTGTTCCACATCTTACATGGAAATGGTTCTGGAAACAATTAAGTTTGGAAAAAAAAGTTGGTTAAGTAAATTATACAGGTTTGTTTACTTCCTGACTTATCAATTTATTCAGACTGTGATTCTAAATGAAATATATAAAAGGCAGCCTTTCACAAACTTATCTGACAGAGAATCCTGTTAGGAGAGCTCTTGCAGAACCAGTGTTCTGCAAAAACTGTGGGGAAAACTGACCTAAGTTCAAATAATTACAAAATAGTTGAAGCTGCAATCCTAGTGTACCTTACATTTTTAGAAACAATAGTAAAATTAACCTATAAAAGAAAGCTAAAATCAAGTTTATTAATATTTGTAATAATCACAGGATATAATATTTAGGCATGAGTTACATTAATGACCATAAATATTAAAAAACAAAATCTAATCTTTAGAATTTATAGGGAAAGCCTTTCATTCCTTTAAACCAATGAATTCAATACACATGACCACTTTCTCACAAGCTTCAGACCTAAAGTTTACTAATTCTGGTAGCATGGTGCTCATCATATGGCAGAACTTAGTAACTATTAATCAGTAAAAAACACACACGAAACACTATGCCCGCACATAATTTGGATTCTTTTGATTGAATCTACTTACACATATTGTTCTTGCTATAAATTTACCATTTACTCAATCAGCACCACCAACTTCTAATTATTGATGTTGCACTGTTCTCTATAAACCCAATCCTACACTTCTAACTTCAGGTCTAAAGAAAGTTTAAGTTTTCAAATCATTTACTCCATTTTGTCCCTAATTTGTTTCACTGATTTACCAATCATTCCTCATTTTGAAAACAGAAAGCACAACAACATTATTATTAAGAGCTAATATAAGAGGATCTACTCTGTCCCAGGCATTATTCTACCCTACAGGTTTTGAAACAGTAAATCCTCATAAATACTTGGAGTTGAGGGATGGGTGTCAAAAATATGTCAGTATAACAAAATTCTATTATTTCCTTTTGATATAAAAACTATACCTCTTTGAGTTTAAGACTACAGGCTTCATTTTTGGTACTGATTCTTTTAAAACAGGAACTTAACTGTCCCTACTCTAAAACAGGATCCTAGTCTGATATAGAAATAATTCGGAGTAGAAAAAAGAAACATTCTCATCAGTCATGGGAAAAGGCTACTTCTTTTTTTCCTATTTGAGTAATTATTCGACATTAATACATTGGCGCAGTGATAAACAGAAAAACAGAAAATAAGGTAATAGAAATCATCTAACTAATAAGATAGAGTCAAACTATAACCATTTTAACCTAAAGCTAAAAGTATTCTGCTTATGTTTTTAGTCTTAAAAATGCTTCCCTCTTTCTCCTGGGGAAAATTTCTCACTTTGCAGTTATATCTGAATACCTCAATTATCTTATTCCCATACTTTCACCTTGAGATATTATGCATCTGCTGATTATAAAAACCAAAAAGAAATTCATTCAATCATCAAGGACAATGGTCCAGAAAGTAAGAACGGTGTAAAATTTGGAAATAAATATCAGCAATGGTTGATAATTTTCTTTTCTTGGGAAGGCCTATTCTTTATCTGGAGTTTACGTCCTACATTTTCAGTGTTAAAATTTCCTTTATCTTATATAATGATGGTGACAGTACCCAGTAATCCTTTTTGTATTTTTTAAGCATTTTTCCTTGGCAAAATAAAAAATTGGCACTTCTATGCCAAACTAATTTTTAAATTCCTATACTTTTCCCTAAAATCCAGAAATTTGAAAACCACTTCTCTAGTGGTTTTCAATAATCTACATCCTGCTTATATAAGATAAGCTTCAAGTTAATTTTCTATTCTTTTCAAAATAGAATGTTACAAAATTTTAAGAAACTTTTTGGCGTAAGGAAATGTTTATGGTTTAATAATTTTTATAACTTAATTTCAAATGTTTATCATAGCAGTGGTATTACTCCTTTCAGTCTATTAAGTAAATCCAACTAAAGAGTATTTACCTGGAATAGGTAATTCTCATTAGACCTAACCAGACCTTAGTTATTTTGTCATTTGCTCAACCTTCATATAATTCATTGTTAGTCTTTCTTATACATTAATCCCTGGTCTTTTTAACTGATTGCTATTCATTTTAGAAAATATACACATTGTATAAAAATATACATCTAAGGTACAAAAGCAAGACCCAAGAAAAAAACGTATGTCAACAGGTCTTACCAAGAGCAAAACTTCCAAAAATTATTTATGATGCAAGAGGTTTGGTACTTTTCCCCCCTCACCATATAAGTAAACAGGGAAGTAGTCATATATTTTTAAAGTTCTTACCAAATCCACAAACTTGGTAACATTTTAACCATTTGTACAATAACTACTACCATTGTTTTATATCACTAGTTCCTAGAAAATAAATGGAACATAAAAGACATACTACTCATCCAAACCACCTATCTAACATTGGACTGAAAACTGTCACTGAAGCCATCATTGAAAGGAAGCTTATTCAAACCTGTATTCAACAATATCTCTGAGAGAAAAGCTGATCTACTTTTTTCAGTACAATATTTGTACATACAAGTTAATACGAAAGTTTTAAATTCTGGGTAGTTTAAACCCAGAGCATTAAGATGGGTGGATGATCAGAATTACACTCTCCACTTCTACCTTATCCCTCACCACTCATACTGCCAAAGCAGACCTTGTTCCAGGCCTCCTGAAGAAAAGAATAAATGGGTAGTGGGGTGGCCCTATCTCCTGTGAAAAAGAAAGAAAGAATTCCTGGAGTCTCAAGACAATACAATTTGACACTCAACTTGGTGACTAATTATATATATTCTAATTATACGTTATATATAGAATTGCCTAACTACATTAGGGAATTCTTTGTGGGCATAAATCCCACTTCAAATATTCTACCTATTGTCAAAGTGTATTTAGTAAATTAAAAAATTCATTTATATTAAACTTAAAAGGAATATTTATAAATCATTTAAAGCTGAATTTTGAAAAATTATTTTTAATACTTACTACTTCAGCTTCTGTTCTTGTCTTGAATGTAATTACTGCATGAAGTGAAGAATCATCAATCTGATAATCTTCTATTTCACCATATTGCTTTAAATTAAAAAAAAAAGTATTTCCTACAAATAAATATTTTGAAATATCCAAAAATCCTAATGGTATTAAAACCATTAAAATACTATTAAGTATAATCTACAATATATAACAATTTAAACTGGTTAACAGAAAAGAATGCTGAGTAATTCATTTTAGTACTTGATATTATGAGATAAAAGGTGGTCTTATCTTCCAATCTTATTTACCATTCTACACTTTCTAGAATTAGTGAAACTTATACTCAATTGAGCTGCTCTTTAAATGAAAGAAATAATGGTCAAAGCCTGAGCTTCCTCATTGACCTTCCTTTTATACTCATTAATTCACTCCCAGGATAATCTCTTTCTTAAACAGCATACTGAATCCTCAGAACATTCTATGAGTTTTGGTATCATTCCCAACAAATGGGGAAAAAAGATTCAGAAATTTAAGTAATTTTCCCAAAGTAATTAATTACCTAAATGAGAGTCTAGGTCTTTTAATTTAAAAGTTTAACACTCTAACCATGCTTTCACTTACTGTATACTTCACTATACCATACATTCTTTTAGGACGTTTAGAAACCAAACACTTTACATTAAGCCAGCTTTTGGTTTATTGGATTTCCCTACCATGTGTAGGAAGATTGTTCTAGAAATAGCAACCTTTATCACATAAAACTCTAATCCTTTATATATAATACTTTCCTTCTTTCTTACCCCAAAATAAAATTATAATCACGATTTCATTAAATACACTCACGCATCTCATAGAAAAATTCTGTAGAGCATAGTTAAGAGAATAGACCCCAGAGCCACTCAGCTCTGCCAGGTACTAGCTATGTAAACTTCAGTAAGTTACTTAATCTCTTCATGCCTCATTTTCCTCATCTCTGAAATGGGCATAATAAACGTACCTTACCTGATAGGGTTATCCAAATAACTCATAATCTAATGAGTTATTATAAGGCACTCAGAAGGCATACCTGCCACAAAATAAGTGCCCTACACTCTTACTTAAGTTTTAAACATGAATTACCACTGCTAACTTTTGAGTGGGATTTGACTCTCCAAATGCATGTTAAGAATTTCCACTTAGAGGTTCTGAATATTTCTCAAACCAAAACCATCTCAGTCTCACCAAAATACAATCATAACAAACTCACCTGGTTTGTTTGGATTATTTTAACATATTAATTGCTATTTTCCTGATCAGCTGTATAACTATACACAGTACACTTATATTACCGGGATCTCCTTTCCCTTGTGGAAGGTACAGAAGTGGGGTGCATAGCAGAAAAGAGCTGGGCAAGATTATCTCCAATCTCCTTTCTTTAACTCTTTGAATCCATCAAGAAAAGGACTTTCCAGACTCCTCATTCTTAAACATTAGCCATTTTAGTTATTTCTTAAACATAAACCATTTCTTTCAATACCTTCTGTCTTATTAAAGTATCTGTATCTGCTGCAAGCCTGGAATATGACTGTTAAACACTTAAATCTGAATTTTCAAAAGGTTAAATTATTTGTGTACCTATCTACAAGCTTACCTATCCTTCAGGACCTATGCTCCAGTTTTAGTACTCCACGAAACTTTTCTCTACTGTTTTTTTTTCCCATCATATGCCAGTGTGAAAGATACTTCCCTAAGTTATTAACGTATTTATAGTATTTAACAAATTGAACTTCATTATGTTTGTAGTTTACTTTAACTGGTTTGTGTTAAGCCAATATATAGTAAAAGCCCTGGGGTTACAGAACTAGTTATTTCCTTCTTATCTACACAGCAATAACTATAATGTTGAGGGAAAAACTGATGTTTAGTAACTAATCTTTCGGATACTACTAAGAATCATAACATGTAAGTCGAAAGGGCCATTTGGTAGGTATAATCTTCTCCATTCAGCACATGAGCCTAATGAATCCCAGGAAGTCCAAGTTAAATAATCAATTAGCAGGAACTAAAATCCCATTCTCCTTTCTCATAGGTCAATCTATTATCACTAGATAGACTCCCTTTAATTATACCCTGACTAAGGTGACATCAAGATCAATTCTGGGTCAGCTAGATCAAGAATGCAATATTAACAAATAAAATCCTATTTTAATTTAAAAAAAAAACTCTGGATGGCCCATGTAACATGTTAAATTTTTCCTTAAAAATAAATACCAAATGAAACTATAGAATTTCCCTCTCTGAAACAATAAAGTTTAAATTATTCATTTCACAATATCTCAGAGCTTATTAAGTATAAGAATAGTAACATTTCTTCCAGATAATTAAATGAAAACTCCCACAGTTTATTCTTTAAGGAGAGATTACAGATTAGTGAACCACTTTGCTCAGATTAACAGGTTGAAATTACTCATGTCATTTTCATAATTTCCTCTTTAATTATATTATCCCCAAAATGATTATCAGTATTTGGTTGGGCAGTAAGAAAGTACCGCAAAATGTGGAAGAAGATCTTCTCTATCACTCTCTGTAAATGCAGAAATCTCCAATGCCCTGGGACGATGATCCACCACAGCATGACCCGGCACACCTCGCCCTCGACCTCGACCCCTGCCTCGGCCATGAGCTGCACCTCGACCTCTTGAATGAATTCCTCTGCCCCGACCAGAAGAAAGAATTCCTCGTTTGGCAGCCTAGAAGAGATTACACGCACAGGTTAAACAATGTTGTAGCCAACAATGCAAGCCAAGTATTACACTCTGGCAGACTCATACAACTTCTATTCAATTTGACATCATTTTCGAATGTCTTATAAAAGGATCATATAATTTAAATTAGGGTTTTAGTTTTTAAAGGGAAAGCAAATTTAAGTAGCTAGTCAATTTAAACAATGAAATAACATTAAGGTTTTGAAATCACTAAACGTGCCTTTTCCTAAGTTCTTGGTCTCTAAGACATCAGGATATATAACAAAAAAAAGACCAGCAATTCTTGATTTCCAAATCATATAGTGTTAAAAATGTTACTTCAGAAGTCGGGTTAATATATAGATACATAATACTTGTGTATACAATAAATTCATTTTTCCAGTTATGACTTTCAAATATAATGTTTCCATTTGTTTGCCTATTGACTTCAGTAAGCAGAGTTATCTCAAATTCATCATTTTGATCACTTATAACTAACATCATCACAGAACCAATGTAGCATACTCATTGATATTTTACATTATTCTGTATGAACAGGGCACTATTCCTTCATTTCACAATTACTTAATGAGCACTTCCTGTGTACCCTCATGAAACTCCAACCCGAGGGGGTAAAGAGACATTAAACAACTAAGTTATATACTTATATTAATAAGAAGTGACTCAAAAAGTGGAGAAATGCTTTACTTAAAGATTTGAACAGAACTTTAAAGATTTGCAGTGAATAATCCGCTAAAATGAATGCTCCTTATTTATTTTATTTTATTTTATTTTATTTTTTGAGACAGAGTCTCACTGTGTTGCC